TTTCTACAACTTTAACTTTGGAGCAAAAATCTGGCTTTAAACTTGAAAGAAATAAAGATTTGACATTTATCGTGATAATTATCAATATCGACTGATATGAAAAAAATTATTGTGATAATTTTTTTTGGCCATATCGCCCAGCCCTACTCAGAACAGACATTTAATATTGACTTTACACGGACTTTAAAGATAGACCTACTGTGAGCTATGTGGTTGTTAAACAATAGTATTTACTTTTGATAAAGCCGTTAGTCTGCATTATTTGAAATCATTTATTCAATAATTGTGATTAAAAGCGTAATTCCTGGTAAAAAAATAAAAATAAATACATGACCCATGATTCAAAAATGATGAACAATTTCCACCAATCAAGGAATCAGCAAAGTGCGCCAAACGATCTTTGGTGCCCGCCCACCACCATGCACTGCAAACTGTTCTATGATCTCACACAACTTCAATATGTGTATAAATATGCATATTTTGCAATGAACATAAAATATGCTGCTTCTACATATTAATCAACATATTTAAATCAATAATATTACATTTATCCTTTTTTATTGTTATTCACAGTGCTTCATTGCATTGTACTTTTTATCCAATTTTCAAATATTTTTTTGCATCAAATCAAAGTTTATATTGTTGTGATTCACCTTGTAGCTGGTTGATTGGTTCAAATAGCCTTTAACTCTCTAACAAAGACTTTCTTTTTAATCCCTATGGGAAAAAATAGTTCTAGAACTGCCTTCCAAACAAACAAGCATGCCGATTTTTCCATTACAGAGCATATTGCTCACCAACGATTGCATCAACCAGTAATAAATCGCAACGTAAAGACCAGGGTGCGAACTACGGGGGCGCTAGGGGGAGCTCGGCTCCCCTTAATAAGACATGGGCTCCCCTGAAAACAGGATTTGTGAAATTTTGGGGGTCTCAAAAAATATTGACAATGTGTTATTTTGACGTGCAATTTCAGTTTTGTGTAATGTGATCATCGTGGATTATTGTGTAAAATTGCAAAAATATAACTATACATGCTATTCTTGTCATGAGCATCAAGGTGTGAGGGCGCTGCAGTGCAAATTCCACTCATGTTTAGTACATGTTATGTGTTGTGGCTGGGTTGTTATAGGTCTGCGATGTCTTAGGCCTAATTGAACGGAGGAATTATGGTATTCTTCTGTAGCCTGACGACGAGTAACTTTAACCGTTGTTCGTATGAACTCAAAGACAGCCTGATGCTTTGTTTATAGACTATTTGTGGGTGGCTGTTTGTTGTTTCACCTATCAAATCGTGTCGATAAAGTATAATAGGGTAAATCCTGTATAGTGATTTATCCTATAGTGCTTGCATAAAGCAAGTAGTGCATACACTTGTAGCTGTTATGTATCTTTGTAAGTCATTGTAGCCCTCTTTTGATGCATGCACAAGCCCACGCACCCCCGGGCTCCCCCAAAGTCCACGGTATAGTTTGAACACTGGTAAAGACATCCATTAAATGTGCCTCATGAGCAGGCCCACAGTGAATGTGTTTCTCACAGAGTTTAATTGCTTGTTAATCAATAAATCAATCATGTCAATCCTCCTTCCCTTTAATGTTCATGAAATATGTTGTCACATTTCTGCTTTCAGTCCTTTCAGATACGTTTAAGATATTTCACCATGTTTAACTTCAGTCTGCAGAATTCCACATTTATTCCCCAAAATGTCACTTATCTCGACCTCATACCGACGCTGAACATTATTAAGTTCTGCTGACTTTGAGTAAAGGATTTCATTAAAGACCTATTATTGTCCGTGCTAACAAAATAATATGAGAAGGTTACTGATTACTCGAGTTACTCGATGTTTGTTACGGAATCGGTTGAGTGAACGACTCCATGACTCGTTTAAACACAAAAGACACTCACTTGTCGCCACCTATTGGCGTAGCAATGTAACCGACTGAAAGTCCACCCGAGCGTGTGAGTGAAGGAACAAGTGCTAGAATTTAGGGATGCACGATATATCGGCCACCATATCGGTATCGGCCCATATCGGCTCATTTTTTCTGTTATCGGTATCGGCCTGATAAGAAAATTTGGCCGATATCTTAAAGCCGATAAATAATGCATTATTTCCTTCAGAGACACTTCAGATGCGCGCTGTTCGTTTGCAGCCTTTTGTGCAATTGTAAATTGTAATATTGTGTTTATTTGATGTATATCTGATTTATCTCATATAGAATGCGTTTGGTTAAGTTAAAAGAGCGCTTCAGTTTACCGGTGATCATCTTTAGCTCAGCACACGCAGCTCAAACAGCAGTGCACAACATTAATAACTATGATTGGGAATGTCGTGTATATAACATTCTAATGAGAACATTATTATAATAAAACGTTGTGAATTCTTTGGGTTTAGTTGCCGTGTTTCAGCGCGTTGTTATGGGAAGAGCGCATCCACAACAGGATCACACATTCTGACTACAGCACGCAATAACTGCATCATTTTGAACATATATAAATTGTAATATTATGTTTATGTTGTATTAATATTAATCTCAGGATGCATTTCCTTGAGTTAAATAAGCTGCCAGCAAAACGCTTCAGTTTACCGTGTTCATTCAGCTCTTCAGCTTCAGCACGCGCAGCTCAACGGCTGCTATTTAAAACAGTGGTATTAATTTGTTACTTTTTCAAAATCATTGATATATTATTAATAACAACAACCACTTGTATTTTTCTCTTATTATTTTCATCAACAATATGGTTTAGTAATTAAAATCATTTAATTATTGTCCGTGCAGAGGCTAATCCGTTTTATTGATCTGTGGCGCATTCATTTTGATTCTTTACATGTGTAATGATGTCCAGTGACTTGTTTGCATTATTTATGCATAATTTTATTTATTTGTAAGACTTTTTTATGACTAAATTTGGTAATGGGAGAGTAAAAATATTTTTAAAACGTACACCGTTCAAACTAGGCTGCTTATGTTGAAGTGTTTGGGATGTGGCTTTTAATGATGAGACCTTTTTTGTAATCAGGCTCTCAAAAAGTATATAACAATTTGGATATCGATTTATCGGCCAACATATCGGTTATCGGCTTTCAAAAATAAAGAATAATCGGTTATCGGTATCGGCCAAAATTTTCATATCGGTGCATCCCTACTAGAATTCAAAAGTTTCTCGTCACTGAGACAAAAATTCCTATCAATAGTTTGAAGTTCACGTTATAGATGCATTTAGGAGGAGGGAATATCTTTATAGTTACAAAAGAAGCGTTGTGTTGACATACATATTCAGTATTCACCCTTTACACCACTTATCACTAAACAGTCATGCACATTAGGGCTTTACATAAGAATTTGACCACTTCTTTTTTTTAAACAAAACGTCAACATTTTGTAAGCTCACATATTGAAAGCAAATATTGACTGTGACATTAAAACAGAAACCGACTTTTTTTTTTTCTTACAGCACTCGCTTGCCATTATCCACCAGAGGGTGCAAAGATGACACCCATTCCACCCTCATCTTGAGCCAAAAGCCCTCAACACAACCTGGCAAACCTCTCAAATACATTAGGTTATTTCAGTACTACCAAGGTGGATTTCAAATTATTCATTAATAATTGTAATTCAGTGTAAGAGCTGAACCAGATGCTGCAAAGTTTAAGACACACATGTTGCACAACCGTTACCCAATGCATTATAACGCGTAAATGATCACCTATAAAACAGAGAACCACCATAACCGTTATAATCCGGGTTTAAGGTCACTTTAATAGATTAAGATTCAATATTTGACTTTGAATGCCTTGTTTGGAACCACTTATAGTGCATAACAATTAAGTTTCTTGCATAACAGGCATATATTCCTCATATTCTGTCTTTTATTCTCTTATAGCTAGCTTCCC